ACAAAATATACGCTTGATACAGTTCTTCCCAGCAAAATCGCCCGTACCTGCAAAGTTTTGACATTAAACGCGACCCTCACCACGCACCTGACGCAACTTTTCTATTCTTAAGAGGTGGGTTACGAAATTTTGCACTTTAGATACCACTGCAAGATAGGGAATGATTCTACGACCAGGGAGAAGCGGCATTCCCTATTCGTCACATATATCAGTGATACGCACTCGTAAAACATTACATAAATAAACTGGCTAGGAAAAGAACAATTCTAGGAATTATAGTATAATAACTCAAAACCCAGGACTGACTAGTTTGTGTGTATGAATGTTCGTTACATGACGCACGGTTACTATTTTTTTAGTAACCGTGCATAACGTTTCCCGACGTGTGTCGAACAGTATCAGTCGGCGGCGTTGCCCGGTGAATTGTAAGTAGCCAGCGACCGGGATTGCTGTCTTCACGTCCACAGCGCAAGGGCTCCCTTCCAGGTTGGAATTCGGACGAATGTTAAACGCCGGGTTCGACTGTGGTCGTACTGTTCGTCAGCATTCAGGGTCGTGCAAAGCGTCGACCACCTTTGTTCAATAAGATCTCGAGCAGCAACGACCCTCAACTCAGTTTGAAAATAGTATAACGTCACACAGCTCATTGTGTCTATCGTTAATTGGCTCGCGACACCTGTTCATTCACCATACGGATACTCGTACAGTTTTTCCAAGGGTCACATCGAGGTCACATAACAATTCGTACTTTCTACTCGAGTAGTGTCAAATGCGTCTACCGACTGGGCGCATAATAGCAATTGTGTCTTTTTAGCAATACACCTCGTGACATTGACTTTACCCAGACCGGGTTATATGTTGAAGCATACATTTTCTCGAGGACTGTTCTATTGATATGACAATTTCATTGCAAGAATTATTAATTTTTTTATTATTACTTTTCTGGATATTTCTGAATGTGTGCATTAGTACGGTTTTAAATCAATATCTTTAGATAATGATAAAAATATAATACATCTGATACCGAAAATAAAATAATTTCCCATTTGTAAAATATAATTCGAACGTGTTCAAAGTAGTACAGCCGCGTTTGATTACAAACAGATATGAGTTCATAGAGCGCGAAAAATTGTTCATTGCCATTCCAGGTTGTTATCTGTTATTAAATGAATACAACTAGCAAGGATTGATGTATTGTTATAAGGTTATTACAGGAATGACGCAAAATATGCACTCAGGTTCTGGGGGTACATGGTATTATAATTAATAACTATAGATTCAATTCAAAACGTGGGATTTTATATACTTGTGAAAAAATGGTGCTTGACGTTCGGCGGTTTGGAGAGTATAAATAATATCTGAAATAATATAATTTCCAATAATAATTCATGAAATGGTGTTTAAAACAAACGAAATGTTGAGATATCGACGTACTTTTAAATTAGTCAGTCATGATGTCAAAAGTTAAATCTGCTTGCATTAACTAATCCGATTACAAGGATTATAATAACTGCGTGTAGATATTTTGAAATAGTTTTATCAATATGTGCCAAATTAGTTTCTAAAATTACAGAGGTTTCTGTTCATTTGCGTTTGGTTAGTTTTTGTATGATTTGTCGTCAATCGACTTGTAGTGCCACGTCATTGTTTGACTTTCTCTGTGTTCTTCCCGCTCATTCTCATAAGTCTATCTGTTTTGGCTCGTCCTCGGACAAAGACCTTCGTTCCCTCGACAATAACCAATAATAATACCAATAAATGTGTATTTACAATGATTGTCAAATTTTAATTTTTTACCAGTGTACGCTCCTCTTGAATGAATTAATTGTTTCATTGTTAATAGTAGCATTACAGTTATGTCATTTCGTGTAAATCTAATGCCATTTATTTACTATTGTTATTGTTCCCGTATTTTTCTACAATTTTGTATTCATATATAATATGATAGATACTTGTATCACTTGATGTAGAATGAAAATGTCAGTATCATTCAACTGTAGTGCATATGTAAGTTTTTAGTAAATTTGATGTGATTTCTCCAAAAAATAAACACGATTGTTTAATTACCTTCATTGTTTAGGATATTCTAAACTGAAGGATCACCAGTTATCGTTCTATATAAAAGTAACTTACCTTAGTGACATCTGTTGTACACACAATTTATCCTAATCAAACTAATTTACCTCACCGGCTAGATGATCAGCAGAAATCCAGATAATTCATTCGTGCTTTCAATTTTTCAGAAGAAACGCACTCCTCTTCATTTAGCTGCAATTGGTATAGTTTCATTTAGGAATTATAGCCCAGTCCTAGAAACACTTCTGAAAGCTGGTGTCTCCAAAGAACCACGTGACGAGGTGAGTTTGTCGTCACGCGATATAAATATTTTGATTTATAGAAATAACAATTTCGATTTTTAATTTTCATACCTATATATTGTACGCCCTCTTGTATATTTTGTACTATGTTAGTATCATTATTAGATGTACAGTAATGTCATTTCGTATAAACCTTGTACTAATATCATATTTTCGTAAATATTGTTATTGTTCCCGTATTATTCTGCAATTCTGTATTTAGTTTAATATAATAGGTATTTTTATTACTTAGTAAGTTGTACACTGACAACATACCATTGTTCATAGCTTTTTGGTGAAATTATAATTTGCTACAATGCATAGTGGTTCCATACGATTCTACTTGTTTTATTATGAAAAAAATGACGCAAAATATTTTTACACTGAAGGTGACACTATCACTATGCTGGATTTTTTTATTCCGTAAATTCACTTCTTCAAAATTAGTGTTCTGTGAGAAATGACGAATGTAAGCTTGAATTTGTAGCTTGAAAATCATTCGCATACTAGTTTATATAAAAGCGTTTTACCGATAAATTCTATGTATATGGGAAACTTAATCTGAAGATATTGAATTCAAAACAACATTGATGCACAAACTATACTGGGTATTTCTTTTTACGCCATCGTTTTATAATTATCTAATTTGTTTTTATTATTTATCTGCTTGTTATTTTGAGTGGATACATTTTGTTCATCTCGAAGGTGTATTAACAGTGAATTTGAATCATTAACTCTCCGTTTTTATTGACAGGATGGCGACACGCCATTGCATCTTGCTGTTCGAAATTCTAAAGTTAATGTAGTAAATTCACTTCTTCAATATGGTGTTGAGAGAGACATACAAAATTTGGTATGTTGTTTTTGTGTTTTAATACCTGCATACTAACATTTTTATCATTCATACATTTATGCTGCACATAATGTTGTTTTCACTAGCTCATGTAGTTTAGAATAAAATTCTCATAATTCGAATAACTCCTATTGATAAGCATTTTTTCTCTATTGTTTTATAGTTTTCCATGACGCCGTTAGAAATAGCCATCAAGAAAGGAAACCCACGTATAATACAATTGTTATCTAATGCAGATATACCAGACAGTGTGTTCGACGAGGTCCAGCACATTGATGGTATGTTCCTTTGTTATTTACTGGAATGTAACTTGTTTTGTATAATCGTCGGGTGATAATTTATGAATCTGTCCGATGTATTAATTGTGTTTTCCATGTAATATGTACATAGAAGTTTTAATTATTGTATAAACAATGATTATGTGAACTATAAACCTTCAAATAAATAAATTCTGACTCGAATACATAAAATATTCACTCAGATAATTTTAACCAGTTTCGTTTTGGTAAATCTCAATGCCTGTTACTGTATACGTAACTGTTGTACATTCTCTGAAATGTTGAATGCGAGATATACCGTTTTTTTTATGATGATTGTATCTGTATATTGCGTAACACCCTTGAGAGAATTGGGAGAAATATATTCTGTGATAAATGAACCTCGTCTTGTAATAAAATGAGGGTCCCACTCTGGCATTGGTAAGCCAAATGTGGGGTTAACGCAATCCCTGGAATGTATATTCTTGTTTAGTAACATTTGATTAAAATTCATTTCAGACTTTCTCTAATTTCTTAATACGATTTATTATAATTAAGATTTATATCATAATATTTTTATACTTACACTATCGGCGCAGATGACAACGTATTTGAATTCGTAAAAGATATAGCTGCTCCAGATGGCAAAATTGACAGCAAGCTTCAGTCAAGTAAGTGATTGTATGAAATTACCCCAGTAGTGAACACTTTAGTCTGGAGGTGGTGAGATGCTCAAATCAAATAAAGAGTTTATTTATTTCACTACGTATTCGTCATATATTAATTGATTTCACAACTTATCTCGAATTTTCATTCTTACACTTCATCTTTGAAAATTATATTTTAAAGACTCACAATAACAACTATCAACGGTCAAAAATCCATTTATTCAGACATTTTTTTTTTAAACATGTTTTCTTGATATTATTTTCAACAGAAATAATGAAAGATCCACATGGTGATAATAACAATGCAGGCTCAAATCAACGTTCCAAGGTGGGTTCTGCTCAAATTACTTCCATCGACTTAACCGTGAAGTAAATGTTATCACACGTGTATTGGTCTAGATTATGTGCTATTATCTTCTTTTTTTAAAAAGATGAAGAATTTCAATCGACTTTAAAGGTTGTTCTTACTAAGAATTTAAATATTGACTTACAATAGACTTTTAATTTTTATTGAAATAGGTTCCGCATACGAAGAAAAAAAACAAGAAGAAAAAAGGTATGCATTGTCACCATATGCGCAACTCTATCCCATCATTATATCATGGAATAACCTATTGTGGTTTTTGCATCTCGGTTATTTAATTTCCTATGCGTGAAAAATGTTTACTACCTTAGTATTAGCCATAAATATCCTCAATTTATAAAACAAATATAGACACTGGAAAATTCAACTTATTGTAAAACAAATTTATATTCATTTGACAAATTCTGCTTTTTGGGGGATAAAGGAAATTGTGATAAAAATATAAGTATTTATGAATATAATTCGCACATAGAAGAGTAAGTGAACGTTTAATAAACTGTGCTTCATACATGCGCAGATTTATCCACACGTTGTTACATCAGCAATACTGAGACCGTCACATTGCAGCTAACATGATG